AACCAAAGCCAAAGCCAGTTCAAATATCTGCTTTGAAGTTGGCTGCTGGGAATTGGGAATTTATTGAGTCTCCAGGTCAGCCCACATAACCCACAAAGTCCCTAAAGTATGGAGCTATATATTTCAGTAACAAGTAACCACTATTTATAACACCGTTTTTATAGCAAAACTCAATCCAAGGTCTTGTTTGAGAATCCAGGAATGCCTTGCCCTTCCCCTGCTGAGACTCGGGGTGATGGAGCCACTGCTTGGGGGAAAAAACGTGAGGTGGGTGGATGTGAAGGAGAAGATGGAAGAATAGGTGGGATCGTTTGAGGCACCAGTACTCCGTGAGATCCCTCTGCTGCCTTCGGTCATTTATTCTCAAGTATTCCAGACTGGAGAACAAAGGGCTTTGGGGCCTTGAGGGTCAGGGCTCATTTGCGTGGTCAGATTGATAATGGTTGAGACTCCTCAGTGTTGGTTTATGCAGGTCACCACAAGTTCGAGTCCTGGCTGAATCACCGCAGAATAGAAATCACCAGACAGCATTTTAATTGGCCTCCTTTAGGCCATTTAACAAAGAGAAACCTAACTTGTAAGAGCAAAGAGTAATTAATGAAGGGAGGGAACAGAGGTTCCTTTAGTAACTTCCAAATAAGTTCCTCTGTCTGAGGCAGGGGAAAGAAAGGTAGCCTGCAACACAAAGATAAACTGCAGGTACTGAAGTCACGGTGCTTTCCGCCAAGAACTGCTGCTCATTACCATCAGATGCTGCAGTGGCAGTGGGGCCATTAGAACTAACTTTATTATTAGAAGCAATTAGGGAGAAAGGGGGCAGAATTTCATTTGGTTATTTCAAAACAAGTTTCTGTGCATGGTTTAATGAAGGCCTGCAGTGTCAAGATAAAATGTGTGTTTTACTGAAAACAGCTTCTGCAAATGACTGCTTGTTACCAGCCAGCATCTCCAGGCAGAGTGATCCGGGTGGCTTGGATTTACATTCATGCCAAAATGTAACAGTCCAGCTGCCTCAGCTTCATGCAAGTATGGACTGATGGCTAAGCACATGTGTGCTGGGTTCAGCCTATATGTCTTCAATTCCCAATGCTGCCCTGGGTAGCTGAATCACCTTGGGGGACTTTCTGGAACGTTCCAGCCTTAGTTTACTTGTATGTCAGGTACAGATCATAGTAGTATTTATCTTACAGGGTTGTTGTAAAATATCAACACACCTAATATATGTTAGACATTGTTATAATTATTAACAGGTACATTCAAGAATCATTTGGGTTAGAAGGTTGTTTTTAAAGAATTGGCTTGTTACATAGGGATTACCCTAAGTACAAATCAATAATAGATCCATCTATCTCCTTTGGAGTTTGTATGTAAAGATATTTGTCCCCCTAGTCATAACAGTTTTTATCTAAATTTCATTTCAGATGATACTTCAATATGTCTATAGAATTCACGGGTTTTAAAAAGATCTGATTGCTTTTTTAGGTTTGCAAAACCAGTTGTGAACTACATCGTTTTAATTCTCAACTCCTTATCTGTAAGGTAACAGCTGGGACTTTTCGTATTTTCCGAAGCGTGAGCTTTTCCCTTATAAATCCTCTTGGCAGCTTTCAACTCTTCCTCAGATACACACCTGGACTACGAGCACCTGCCATAAATGGAGCTTAGAAGATCATTTAAAAAACCTCAACTGTCACACAACAGATGGGGGCTTGGGCTCTGGCTTCCTTCTCTATGTCCTTTCTGAGCTACTGTGCCCACCGTGAAAGACAACTCACCGGCGGTTTCAAATTCTGCCTGGAATGCCCCAGTCTTCTGTAAGGGTGCATGTCATCTTCGGAGACTCCTTCATTAAAGTCTCAAGGTTAAAGATTGTTTTTCATCAACTGGCTATAATATCTGCATATTTTCCTGGGAATATGGCTTACCTGTTATGTTTTAGTTTTGCAAATCAGCAGCATTTAACTTATGTGCCATGCACCATAACATTAGACCCATATGATGAATAAAACTCCTTTCTTAGACTCTAATAGGCAATGAGTCTATTATTAAAATCTATTCATTCTGGAGAAGGCTAAACTAGCAAAATACCCTCCACGCATTTATGTGTTTTCTCAACCGTGTATTAACCCACATAATTTTTCTGGCTGCACTGACTTAATTTGTGCTAATTTGAATAATTTAAAAAGATCCAGTGTCACAGAATTTGAGATCTCACTGTAGGCAGTGAGGAAGAAAAAGTGGAAAATATTGGGAAGTAGATATTGGTGAGCTTCTCCCCAAAAGTCTGTGTGTTGTTACTCAGTATTTTTTAAAATGTTGGTTCTTCTTTGAGTACTGTTTTCTTTTGTTTGTTTTGGTAACCACACATTGTAACATGAGAGAAGTTCACTTCTGAAAGACTCAGAAGCGACGAAAGGTGGTGTAATCAGAGCTGTTGATGCCCGTTCACAATGGACGTCTGTTAGAAGGTCAAACCTGAAGGCTAGGTTCTGAACAGAAGAAAAGATGCAACGTAGGGACTGTCTTACCCTGGACCGTTCTTCTAGTTTTGTCATCATGACAACGGTGGCACTCCGCTGCTCCCAAATCATTCTCCAGAAGTCCCCGAATGTTTCTGGGAGAGATCCCTGTGTTGCGATGTAGGCATTTTGTTTCCTATAACCATCGATGTAGTTGGCATTCACATAGTCGCTTCCTGGGATGCCTGTAAAACAGGAATATTATTCTACTAGGTGAACATATCAGAGGAAGAAATGGCCTGGGACACAGCCTAAGGCATTGTTATAGTACTGTTCCCCACTACGCTAGAGGAGTTCCAGTAATATTGCAGGATTCGGGTTTTAAGCAAGATTCAAAACAGGTCACGCAGTGTTAAAGAAATGCAAAGTCTGAGGTCATTTACAAAAGGACAAGGTGGACTACCAAAAAAAAACCAAACAAACCCACAACTAATTGTCCACAGAATGCCTTTTCTCACATTGTCTTTCTCCACTGCATCAGCAAAATATAGTTTGCAAAGGGAAATAAACAATTACCTGGTCATATTCCTCAGTCATTCTCCTCATTCCCAGACAAAAACTGAGATACTGCCTGAGTGTGAAAAACGTGACATGGCATGCCCTGACAGTGAAACAGTCTACGCAGTTTGTGACAACAGGTAACTCACTTAACCCTCACAGCAACTCTATGAAATAAGTCCTGTGATGATCTTCCTCTCACAAAAGAGAAAGCTGAGATGCACAGAGGTTGAGAAACTTGCTCAGGCTGGTGCAGTCTGCTATGCTAATAGCAGAATCACAGGCAGGCTGATCACAGGCAGGCAGTCTGCTATGACTTTGTCTTAGTGCTTCCCATTTGCACCTCATGGGGCTGTGGTGTCACATGGACCTCTCTTTGGATTATGAGAACTGCTTTCTAATTGGTTGCCCCACTTCTACTTTTATCCTTTGTGCTGTTCTCCATCCAGCAGGAAAACATTTTTTAAAAACATTGTTTCAGACACTGTAACATCTCTTCTTCACACCCAACAATGGCTTCCCCTTATACTTCAAATAAAACCCAAACTCTCAACAATGGCTACAAAGCTCTGCACTTCTTCAGAGTCCTCTCGTTCCACTCACCTTCTAAACTTCTAAACTCTAGGTTCGGCTTCAGTTTTGGAAAATGAGGCTCTCCTTCCTCAGTGCCATGCCACATCCTGGGTCACACTGTTTCCTTCCCATTGTAAAATGTTCGCCCCCATCTCAGAAGGCCTGCCCTTCGTACCCAGGGACCTCAGAGCTTCCTTGGCAATTCTGTACATTGGGTATTGCAGACTGTAACTATGTTTGTTAACTTGTTTACTACTTGTTCTGACTTCTAGATCATGTCTCTTTCATTTACCTTTGCTATTCCTAGTAACAAAAGAGTATTAATGCAGGTATTCTGATTGAAAGCCTTTAAGAGAAATATAGGCAAGTTTAAGCTTCTTCCAGGGAGAGTGGCCAAAATGGTTAAGGAAGTGAAAGCTATTCCATGCAAGAGAGGAATATAAGTATGTAATACAACTTGGCAAAGGAAAATGCAGAGCTACCCACGTGTATCTAAAGAGAGGTTCAGGTTTACTCTGTTGAGACCCAAGTTTTTCAGTTCAAAAGGATGCAACTACAGAAATAGAGATTTTATCTCCAATATAACAAAGCATTTGCAAACTGTCAGAATCAAAAAGGGAATAGACTTCCTTGGGAGGTGAGGAGTTGCCAGTCCCCGGAGGAGCATCACCGAGACATGGGGCATAGCATCAGAACGTGTACATGGTCCCTTTGCTGCCCTGGGAAAACACGGGTCCAGGATTTATGGACAAAAATACTTTCCTTATAAATGAAACATATGTTCCCAAGCTAAAATTGTTATATTTCACTGATTGCCACTTTCAATTACTTTGACTGCTTTTCTGATTCCAGTTGTAAAACTGATCCTCTCAAGAAAAGTAATGAAAGTCAGATGGAAACTACTGTGCTTCGAGATGAACACATGGATATGGAATACCACCACCATGAGTGAAAATCCTTTTGAGCAAAAAGGCTTTCGCTCAGTTGGTTGTAACATTATTCATCTATTACAGCTACTCTAAAAACAGCTGGGGTTCTGGCAGCACTTTGTTGATAAAGATCCTGTTCCTCCCTGACATCAGATCATTGTAGTTTGAACGAAGTCCTCAGGTTCCAGCCACTGGGAAGCAGCACGTCTGCATGTCCACGGGATTCATTTCTGAGCCCACGATAAATCTCCACAACACGGGAAAAGCCTGCTGTCCAAGTTTTGATTTAGCAGTTAGCGACCTTTAAGAGCTGATAAAAAGGCTTTTGGCTATGGGCCCCACTCAGCCACCAACATACACAAAACTTTTTCCAAACTTCAAAATGGAGAAACTGGGGTTAACGCCTCCAACAACACGTCATCGAGGCGCCGGGCTAGTTCCCTGTCATCAAGGATGACAAATGTCTGAAGGGCGTGTCCGAGGACAAGGCCGTGGACATGGGACGCACATCTAGAACAAGGGAATCCAGCCCACCCAACATTCCACCATTAGGTAATGAACTGTTTTCAGACATACCGCTCAAGTTTAAAGAATGCATTATTATTATTGTTTTAGGGGAAATAGGTTGCTACTGAATAATGGTTGTACTTTCCAGGATTAAAAAAATACAAAAATTCTGCCTGAAAACCATGAGACCCTAGGATTAACTGTATCACAGAATGCCTTAAGAATTTAGGACTTGATATTTTAAAGAGAGAAGAATTAAAAAAAAAAATTCAACACTTGGTGGAGCTAATTATTAAGCTGATGTTTACATCCTGAAAATACTACTGAGGCTCCTCTTCTGTTTTGACACTTTTCTCTAAGGAGACTGCACCTGGAATGAAAGCCTCCTCTGGTGAACCCCTTACCCGCTCAGGCAAAAAGCATTTCTGGTAAGTTCTCTGTCAAATGTTATTTGCTACGTGGAGATGTGAGAGAGGGCTATGTTCTGGAGAAACCCTAAGATCTAATGCATCCTATATTCCTAGAATCCAACACAAGGATCTGTGTGGAAAGGTGAATGAGAAAAAGGTTTCAGAAAGGGTGGCAGATTGCCATTCTAAAAATATTAGCCCTAGGTTGGAAGTGGAAGTTGAAAAGCAGTGTGTTTCAAGTCGATGAGACCTTACTTTTCAATGCAACATATTTCGAAAAAACTTTCAAACCAACTCTGGCCATGGGGTGGGTGTGGGAAGGAAAAAGAACGTGCTCATTTTCCACATGTCTGGTGCACGAAATGCTTACTCCATAGCTACTGATTGTGAGGTTTCTGCCGGGAGACCGGATCGACAAAGTTCTTTCACTTTTGGGGGGTGACCTTCTTCAAGTAATGCATATTCGCTTATTTAATTTTCAGTTCCCTGCCTTATCCAGACAATGATTTGCATCTGCTAATGCAACACAATCAAAGCGCACTACTAATCCAAGAGAAGTGTGTGAGGATTAATCAAATTCCTCCGAGGCGATGATGGATGGAAACCTAACTCAAATGCAGTACTGAAAGAATGTGCCATTACTATACATGAACAGATTGCTTTTATTTCTTGGCATCAAGGAGACCTCCTTTCAATACTGTAATAATGGTGCTTGTCTTTTGGGGAGTGATGGTAGGGAGGAATCATTAAACAAAGAGCACTACAAAAATGGCGACCTTGGTTTGTCACAGGCAAAAATCTTGGGACTGTTACTGTTGTAGGAACTGCCTCTTGTAGCCAGTCTTAATGTCATTGTTCAAGAAGACAAAAAAAAAAAGTTAATCTTTCATAGGAATCCATGGCTTTCTGATATTTATAAAAATAAACAATACATTTCCATGTATCATTTTATGCATACTCTCCACTTAGTAGTCCTGTAAATAGTTTCAAGACCAATAATTTTCATCATTCTACTCTTGTCAGTGAGAAGACTGAGGCTAGATTTTGAATTCGTATTATACCAGTGTTCCTCATGCATGTGTTCAAGTGTATTTCATCAGTTAATGGACTCTTCTATTGTGGCACTTACAAATACTACTTATATGCTGTATATGGGGTTTTGTGTTCTGGGCAAACTAAACTTGGTGCTGTGAACCTAGAGCCTCTAAGACTAACAAAGGTTGTGATGAGGTGAGTGATTGGTAGAGCTGGGCTTCTGTGTTCTCTGTGCACAACAAGCCGTATAGCAAAGAGCTGTTCAGACAGAATTAGGTCACTTATAGGCTCTCCTTTCATTTGCTGAGAACTGCTAGTTATAGTTTTTAGTGCAAAAATAAGCCTGGGCATGAACTTTGAGATCCACTGTTGTTTTAAGTGCCTGAAAAACTTTGAAAACATTATCATGAATTCAAAATGCAAGGACAACACCCCTTTTCTATTCCCAGTCATGGGATGAATAGGACAGGGCTTCCTGATATTGTGCCTACACATGTTTGAATATTAACCAGGGAGAGGAGTCCTTGGAAAGATGAAGCTACTATGTTCAAAAGAGTATTGGTGATGAATAATTACTGAAAAATGCTTTAAAATCTTGAAAACATGTTGCAATATTAAAGAACATACTATCTGAGATGTCCTTACTGGGTTAAAATAGTTTTTTTTTTTTAAGAAAATGTTTTATTTATTTATAGAGAGAGGGGAAGGGAAAAAGAAAGAGAGGGAGAGAAACATCTTTTGGTTGCCTTTCACATACCCCCAACCCCTCCCTCACCCCAGCTAGGGACCTGGCTAGCAACCTAGGCGTCCTGACTGAAATCGAACTGGCGACCTTTTGGTTCACAGGCTGGTGCTCAATCCACTGAGCCACACCAGCCAGGGACAATAAGTTATTTTTTTGTATTTATTTGAGGAGGACTAATTGAACTAAGTGGGTCAATTAAAACACACACACACACACACACAACTTGCTTTGCATTGATTTTTCAAGTTAGCAGTTAATGTTTTTGAAAAAATATTTCTTTTGTTGGGGAGTATTTAAAATTATAAGTTTTATAAGGTGACTTTATGCCCTGATGTTAACTGGGAAAACAGGGCAGAAAACAGCACATGAATTATTTTATCGATGTGAAATTAAGTGTTCATATGGAGAATGTACATACTTTTGTATTACTCCACACTGTAGGAAAAATCGCACATGCCTTTTGAAGCCTTGGGACAGCAGTAGCGCTTCCTAAAAATTTAGAGAACTCGACCAGGATATGAGACTGCTGTCTAGGGCTATTGGCAGTTTGCACTTTGCCATTTGGGCAGCTGTTCAACTTGTCCAGACCTTTGATTGCTTATCTGCCAAACAAGGCGTGTTGGACAAATTGATTCCCTCACATCCGTTTGAGCTCTAAAATAAGATATCTCCCTGTGGTATTCTTAACCTTCTTGGGTTTGGAAATCTCTGTGAAGTTATTTTAAGATTGAGAGAGGTTTTGTGTCTCTCATCTTAGGTAGGAATATGCTCTGATTCTCTTTCAAGCTGATTTCTACTGCTTCTACCTCTGATGTGCTGAGGTTTTTATTATTTTTTTTGGTATGACTGGTACTTTAAATTTTGATTAGAACCTGGTGGGGTGAAAAACAAACATTTAAAAACAGGAGGCGGAGGTGGGAGTAGGCTCGTGGGCAGTCTGTTCAGAGAAAGAAGCTGCCCGTGGACTGCAGGGACGAGAATAAAAGGCAGTGTCCGAGGGCAGGCGGAGTCCCATCCGTGGCTCCAGGGGACAAATTGTTATGGTACCATGAGTCCTCATGTGCTGCTTCCTTAGGTTCTGCAACTTGAAGCGAAATGACGTGTAACAGAACCAATTCTATCCCGAGCTAATGGATGGACATGAGAGTTAAGTTCCTACAGTGTCCCATTAGCGCTGTCACGAGACAAGGCTGTTTCGGAACCTGCTCCACAGAGCCGAGAGGAGCCCTCAGCTGCGGGATGGCCTTTACTCTAACCCAGGGCGGCGTTAGAGCTTAGGTGCTTTATTTTCTTTCACTTCTACAAATCCTTAGTAAATTTTGTGTGAAAAAGAAATTGTTTTTGATCAACCAGTTTATTCCTTGTTGTAAGACAGAAGTACTCAACTTCCAATAGAGCACACAAGCTATGTTTTTTTTTTTCCAGAAGCTCCATGATTCTTTTTAATTGGTTCCATTACATTTTTTAAAAAATTATTAAAAACTACCTTTTATTTAGAAAATAATGTGCCCATCTCTACTTCAATACACAAAGCAAAAATAAGTAAATACACAAAATACTACCTAACAACCACCAATTGTTGGTTAAGACCTAGATTGATATTTTTGCCTTCATAATGCAGGAAAAAATGTTTACTTTGCTGACAGCAGCAAACTAGAGGACAGGAAATAGAAAAATGAGATCTAATAAAAATTATCACTTGTAAATTTATTGAATTCCAAAGAACACAGGTTCTCTTCCCTTTCCACTGATACCATGGTGGCCACCTGGGCTGTACCAGAACTAGCAGAATGGGGGGTTTTCTTTGCCACATACCAGGCAAAACAAAGGCATCTCACAAAGCCAGAGAGCATCATCTGCCACGTTACCCCCAGATGTAACCTTGGTTTGGCAAATTACCCTCAATGTGTCCATAGCACAGAGGGCAACGTTTTTAGAAGCCTGCTTTGCTCTGTGGGCACTGTAGCTCATCACCACAGTGACTATTAATGAAGGCATGGACAGCTTCCACTGAGTTTGTGAACCCAGCCTCCACTTGTGTCCTCTCCATGGTTTTCTGCACTGTTGGGGAGGCTGCGTTACGACAGCGGCCCCAGGGAAGGAGGTGGACAATTAAACTGTCCTTGAATGTATTCTGAGATTAGCTACAAGTGTTGGGGACTTATCTGCACCTCTTTTCCAGTTAGGGAGCACTTTGTCATGAGATAGAGCAGAGCATGAGCCAGTGATGTGTACTGGCAGCAACGAGGTAGTCAGAACCCAGCAAGGAGTGTGACGACAGGAGCTCTGTCTGTAGGAAACTCTCAGAGCCTCAGTCTCCTCTTATATATCCTCATCTATGAGCAGCATTATCACAATGTCCTCACCCAACACCTCTGAGAGAATCAAACAAGTCAACACATTTGCAGCTTCTAAAATACCAGTGAATATTAGCTATTCTTAGGATCAATATAATAAACAGAAATGAAATAAGCCTATTCCTTCCTAAATACCCTATGGATGAAAAGTAATTCCAAATCTAAAAGACCCCTTTCTAGTTTCTACATTTAAAAAAATCAATGGGGAGGACAAAAATAATTATTTTATAACTTTCCACTAATGTACAACCCATGCCTTTGTTCTAACACTGGAGTCACACTACAGAATATGTAAGTTCCTCTAGAGCCTCAGAGTAATAAAGTGTAAATTTAGTACTGTAACCTGCATAGGTGTACAATAAAAATTTAAAAAATACCAATCACGGAGCTAAAGACTGTGGATATAAAAAACTCACAGACCTTTCTGATTTACTTTTCAATTAGCTTCCTGAAGACAAGAGTAAAGGAAAAACCAAAAAAACAAACAAACAAAAAAACCCCCACAACCAGTCATCTCTTAAAAAATGCCTTTGTCTTTTCCAGATAAGAAACAGCATAGGTAGAGGCAGAGGTGGGAGCCAGACGAGAGGTCCCCACTCTATGTGCTGCCGGGCTGCATGCAGGAGAGAGATGCAATTTAAACAGCTAATATTAGCCTTTCCACTGGCTGCAAGCACCTTGTGAAATAATTCCAAGTTTCCAAAGGCTATGTCCAATCTTGCTGTCTATTTAAGACAAATTAAGCCAAAAAAATTTGTGCACTGCTCCTTGAAGAGAGAGATGCCTTCATTTATTTTAAAAAATCACTCTGAAATAAAAGGATTAAACTTTGTCATGCTTGCAAACAATTAACTTAAAAAGTGAAAGACTTAAAATGTTAAAGAAACTGTACCAAATGATTGTTATTTTGAATAATATGAGAAAAATGAACTCAACCAATTTGGATGAGGATATTTTTTTAAAGTTTTCTTTATTTTTTCAGATGGGGCATATAGTCTAACCAACTTCAGTTTGTTAAGTAGAATTTCAAGAGGAAAATATAATAAACACCATGCACCCACAAACTATTCACTAGTGTCGAGGCCAACAAGAAAAACAGGTAGGTAGGTAGACAGATAGATGAAAGAGAGAGATCCTAGAGGGAGGTAAAGGGATTCGTATTTAGTATGCTGACCTGGGAAAGGTCAGCATACTAACAGCACATGGCAGCTGTTAGAGGAATTCTTATTGGGGAAAATAACTTAAATTCTTTGATATTAGAGTTTCATATTGGACATTTGTATTCACTACAATATAATTAACTGTTTTTTCTGGGTTGGTTTATTTTGTTTTTACTTATTGAAAAAATATCAGGTTATTAGACATAGCCTGTAACAAAGAAGACTCCTTGCCTGGGCACCTTGTGGAACTGGACAGCACGTCCCTGTGTGCTGACCGCTGTTCTAAGTGAACAGGTGGGGACTCATCACTGAGCACCCTGCAGGAGAGAGGCTGAGGCACAGGGCATGGGCATGGTGGCAAACACAGAAGCAGTGCTACAGGAGAATCTAAGTAGTTTCTTCTCTCTACTTTTAGGAATTAGATTTATCTTCAGGGCAGTGATTCCCTATGAACCACTTTTTCATTTTAAAGGAGCTAAAT